ATAATGGATTTCACACGGTGACCAGACTGCATGCTCAGTATCCAGATGGGAAAGCAGGATTAACCTCCTAGCAACTCCCTGCTTGCTCCTTCCCCTCGTTACAGATGGTATTTTTAGTAGGTCACTGTGACCAAAGTGGAGTTTATTAAGGAAAAGAGAAGGCACCTGCAATTTGTCACAATTATTTTATATATTTTCCCAGAGGCCCACTCTTATTTTTAATCGTTTTCCAAAATCTTTCGTTATCAGTCTAAGATGTTTTATTTTTAGAGACAGGGTCTTGCTATGCAGTTCAGGCTGGCTGTGAACTTGCTATGTAGCCCAGGCTGGCCTCGAACTCAGTGATCCTCCTGCCTCAGCCTCCTGAGTGCTCGGATTACGGGCAGGTGCCATCATACCAAGCTAAGACATTTTCACATCCTTCAGGAGAGAATGAGGGACACATTGTCTGTGAAGTGGTGGTCCTACTGGGGTGCTGCCCAGGGTCCACATTTGGAGGTCTGTGAATACAGAAACATCCTAGAATGTCTTTTTCAGGGCCTCCATCCCATGAGTGTGGGGAAATATGGGGGAAATTTGCAGTTCAACTTACATTTTTAAGAAGATAACTCCCAAGTAAGATGTGGCCAAGTCTTGGACCCAGAGTCAGAGTCAGAATTTAATCAGTATTATAGCGTGCCTGATACTGGACAGTTTCCCTTGAGGACCCCGCCCTACTGAACCTGAGAACATTTATCTTGGAGAGAATCCCTGCAGATATGGGAGACTCTTCAGCGTTCCCACAGGGCATGGCTGCTTCCCTAGAAAGGCAGTAATGTGATAAGTAGGTCGAGAAAGCAAGGGTGTGCAACATCACAGAATTCACACCGGAGAAGTGTGTGCACGCAGTGGACAGAAAAGGCCTTCAGATAGTGTGCCCAGCTAATTCCAAATCTGGGGTTTTGTAGCAGAGAAGACAGCAGAAGAACTTCCGGACAGAGATCCATCCTTAGGCGATGCCAGAGACCTCATCTGGGACTAGGCTGGGCATGGTTTGAATATGCAAAACCGTGAGTGTACTGAACACCAGATCACTCACCCTGGAGATGGGCGGTGAGTGCTAGCAGTGTGGAAAATCACCGAGGGAGGGCTTTGTGCGTTCTCATCACTAGAGAATTCACAGGAAAGGAGCTCTCGTAAAGATCGTGGGAGAGCTTTCAGGCAGTCATCAGGCTGTTTCATCCTAGAGAAAGGCTTTGATGAGGAGGAGTGGGGAAAAGTCTCAGTTCTCCTCATTATTGGATTTCAAAGAACCCTAATGGATACACAGGGAAACTTTCTGGGCGAACTCAGGGTTAATTAAGTACCCGACTAAAGCACCAATCCTATCATGCAGGGACTTAAACTTTTTTCTGACTTTACCCCCCGAAGAGCTTCTGTTCCTTTCTCATTATCTAAAGGCTTTTTATTTTTGTCTCTAATGACCCCTCTTTCTTATTCCTTTTATAAGTTTAAGTTCATCCTACTAGGTATGCAGTGAATTTCTATTGAATGTCAAAAAATAGGCTCACATCACTTTCCTGGCTTTGGGGACAGGACCCCCTGGGCAGGGAGGACAGGACTGCACTGACAGGGGCTGGGCTCAGTGGCAGATTCTGGTGGTCACAATTTCTAACATCACAACACATCCAAAGCTGGACCTATAGATCTGATGACTTACCATGGCCATGTCTCTAAACTGCTGAAGATTACTCTGAGCTAGGAAATGAGGTGGGTGGCTTTTCTCAGGTCTTGAATGCAACAGAACAATTTGCATTTGTCAGATACATTCAGAAGATGCAGGTCTAGTCTTTGTTTTATATTTGGAAGAACAGAGTTTCAAAGAACTAGCGAAGGGAACAATCAGGCACAATTCTTGTTCCAGAATCACAAAACAAGCTGCGCTGGGGGGAAGCTTCCTCCAGTCCACATTCACCAATTGCCCTCTTGCCTGCCAATCTAAGTCCCCTTCCTAGACTAGCAGTCTAAGCCTCCCAAAATACACCCCTGCCTCCCACTACCTTAACTTCCCGATTGCGTTAGAAGTGACTCAGGTCTTGTGCTTTTCTGGCTCCTGGCTTTCCTTGGGAAAGACAGACAGAAGAGGTAGACGGGAGAAAAGGGGAAAGGAGGAGATGGAGAGACCAATGAGGGCCATACAAGGCAATGAACAGAGGGCCGCAAGTCAGGGGACTTTGCCCCCAAGATGATCTAAACACATCATCAAGGCTGGCTGGGCAGTAAGGCCTAGGTCCCCACAGTTCAGTTTCACTGCCACAAACTTCTTTGCCTACTACAGAGACCTCAAACACCCAGCTGCGGGTGCTGGCCTCTCTCCAGCACTCACCCAACTTCCTGCTCCTTCCATGGCTTCTTCTGGGCCCTTGTGTAGGCCCCAGCTCTCAGCCACTGAATTCTTCTGAACCTGTTCTCCCTACAGTAATCACCACCGAGCCCATCTTAGAAGACTCATACTCAGACATCTGAAAACTTCCCGAATATTTTTCTTTCCTTGCCTATCCAGGGCTTGGGATTAAGAGCTGGGACAACCTTGTAGGTTGTGACCAACCCTGACCTGTACTTCTTACCACCCTAGAATACTTTCTCTCATCAATGTCTAAAGGTGGATTTTCCACTTGCAGCTGTAGCAAGAGCCAGAGGGTGCCAGGGGGCACCATGGGGGCCATGACGCAAAGGTTCTTTTTTTTTTTTTTTTTTGTCATTTTGTGACCGGGTCTTGCTGGACAGTTCAGGCTGGCCTTGAGCTCACTTTGTAGCCCAGGCTGGTCCTGAACTCACAACGATCCTCCTGCCTCAGCCTCCTGAGTGCTGGGATTACAGGTGTGCACCACCACACCCAGCTTGTAATACAAAGGTTCAGAGAACGATTCAAGCTGCAAGAGGCCAGTAGAAGTCCGCTTAGAAAACAAAGACCTTCAACCTATATGGCTGACACGCAGGAAGCTGGTGGTTCCAGGACAGGTTATAGTGGCTGATGGTTCCTCTGGATAGGTATAGTGGCTCAAGAATGCCACCAAGGACCCCATCTCCTTCTGTGTCACTGTGCCTCAACAGGCCGGCTTTCCCCTGGGTCTTGTGGTCTCGGGGACTTATGATGCCCCCAGCCATTTCCATGTAGTTTACTGCAGCACTAAGGCACGTGGTTTCTAAGCCAAATCACAGCACAGGGAACATGTAAATGAGCTTGCTGCAGTGACACACATGGCCGAGGCTGGGCTGGATGGGCCGCAGGCAGGAGGGCAGCTCTGGGACTGTTATCTCGCTCTAGTTTCTACAGTTCTGCTTGGGTTTGCCCCTCATCTTCTTGCCAAAAACAAGCCTATTTTTCTTTCCACCACAGCTTGTTCTGTTTTTCTTTATTCAAACTTCTTCCCCCTGTGAAATTTTGGGCAGCACACTGGTCCACCCAGGCCCTGCTTGCTCTCGTGACATCTTGCCACACACAGTCTAGGTGATTTCCATTTTGGGTCAAGTTTCCCAAAGGGGAAACATGACCAGTCTGACTGGCTTTGTTTTTGAGCCGAATGACTTCAAAAGTCACTGGCACCTATGCTGGGTCCCAGTGCAATCAACTGTGCACACACTGTAAAACAATCCCATGATATGACACAGCCACAGGGCAGCAGGGCTGGGGCAGACAGGCAGAGGGAGCCCAGCGGGGAGGACCAAAGAGAGAAGCACAGAAGACAGGCAGCTCTAGTGGGGTGGTTCCAGGGAAGTGCAAAGGCCACTGAGGACACCTCGGTCGCAGTGGATGCTACCAGGAGTGGAGGAATGTGCTAGAAGACACAAACAAGACCCCATCTCTAGCCATTCTAGCCAATCCCATGGAGATTCTGGGCACAGTGGGGCAGAAATTGCCCATAATGCCTGGTTTGCAGAATTGAGAGCAGTCACAGATTCCCCAGCTCCCACAGCAGAGATTCCAGTGACTGTTGGAGGGAAGCCTGAGGTCTCAGGAATGTGACTTTCACGGGGCTGGAAACAGCTTACTGTGGGACTTGGTCTCTTTGATAGACTCAAGAAGAGATGGTGGAGGTGGGATGATTTCAAGATGGCCCCACGACCCAGCCAGAATGTGCACTGGTGATTCCAGCAAGTGGAATTAAAAATCCTGCAATGGAAAAACTAGAACTACTGACAATGAAGGTAGGAGGCAGACCTGAGCTTGAATCCTGGCTCCTCTACTAAGTGGCTCTGTGACTTCGAGCAGGGGATTGAACTTCCCATCTTCTTTCCTTCATTTGTGACACAAGGGCAGAAAGCTGGTGGTCTCCAAGGGCTGTGGGCAATATTAACTGAGACACTGCATGTGACACACTCGGCACAGAAGACACGACATGCGTGCTGGTTACTAGCGTTCGTAACTCACTGGCCACTTAGATTTTCTAGTTGGGAACTCAAGTGGTGTCCTCATGGTGCGGGGTGGGGGTGGGGAATAGGACAGGGGGTGACTTGATTTTCAGCTGTCCATCTGGTCCTAGTTGGTTGGTTGATTTCTTTTTTTTTAAGATCTAGTTCCTTGAGCAACTTCCTGGAAGGCTTTGAGAGGCCTCTGCTAGCTCCCTGGGAAGGCCTGGTCTGGGGTCACCCATCCCCCCAGACCTTTGTTCCTCCAACAGCTTTCACTCTATTACCCACTTTGATCTCTTCCACCTGTTTTTCCCATATCTTATCTACTGTGGCATCTGGCCAGTTATTGCTGCAGCAATTTGAGAGAACAGACTTACTATAAATGATATTCCAGCTATAAAGTGCCAGGAGTGGAGTGCATGAAGATAACGACAGTACCCCATGGCCCAGGTAACCGGGTAAGCATGTGGTCTCTGGTAAGCCAGCTGTGGCAGCTAGCGGGCCCACCCTCCTCCCAACACCACAGCACGGACCTGCCACCTGCTCAGCAACTCTAACTGCCCATTCTTCCTGTCCCACCAGGCTTTTAAAGTAAGTTAGAAGAGAGCTCCAAGCTACATAAAATCTTGAATTTGGAAATGTGCCCCCATTTTTCAGGGGAATCAGAGATTTTGTAACTAACGGGAGGAAAAAGGCCTTTTCTGTACTTTCTATGGGACTCAGAACTTGGCCACACACCAAAGGGATGAAGTCACAAGGTGGACAGAGGATGTAGTTATTCACCTCTGTCCTCCAGGTTCTCTGCACGAGCTTCTGGTAGCTTTGTTACTACACAGCAGTGATCCATTCAGGAGATACTCTGTGAATATCTCCCCTGCCAGAGGCTAAGCTAGGCTCTCTGCAGCCACAACAAGCTAAGACATAGGCCTTGCTTTCAAGAGCTCCAGGTGGTCCCTGAGCCAGGCTCACTTAACCAGCACCTCTGCAAGACTACTGATTCTTGCTTGTTCCCAGCCTGTCCCCTCCCCATGGACACTCCCAGGCCCAGCGCAAGTTGTAATGGCTAATATCTCCATGCAGACCTGGGACAGTGGGGACTAGGCCTCCGTCACCTTCTGGGACTTCAGGGCTAACCTGGCTGGCCTGCTGGGGGTGGGGGCTGGGGAGGAATGGGTGACAATAAGTAGGTCACTGTCCTCCCTGAATGACCTTGAAGAGCACAAGGGACAAGCATCGCAGAAGAGGCAGACTACGTCTTTAGTCAAAGGCAAACGCCCTGAACCATCTGCTTGGACCACAGCTTCCACAGCTGTTGAGACAGCCTCGTCTCTGGGTGTGTGGTGCTCCGAGGTGCTATGCAGAATCCAAATGACGAGATGCAATTCCTCTCCTAGGAGCTCAAACCTGTTGGAGAAGAAAAAGGCATAAGTAGATCGTGGAGGATGAGAACGCGGCATGGGCGTCAAGCAGGTTTTTCAGCAGTGAATTCTCCTTGAAATGTTGTGGGGACAGGAGATGAACTACAGGCTGCAGGGTCCTGGGAAAGCTTCAGGGAAGGGAGGGGGCTGGCCACCTTGAAGGATGGATGGTGGCCAGGGTGGTGCCTTGACATGGGTGCTTGCATCCTGTGTGAGCTGCAGACTCACCCAGGGCCTTCCCTCCTCTGCCTGCTGTGGCCACAGAAGGGCCGGCTGGAGGCTGGAGGCCACACACGATCTGTGTGCCCGAAACGGAGGCCTGTGACCCTCGTTTCCCACCACATCATGGCAGTGCAGGGCCAGGATCTGGTCACGCTTTGGGAAAGATACTGCTTCGGGGACAAGATACTGCTGAACCCAACCTCCCTCCACTGGCTTGATGCACGTGGCCAAACATTTGGACAGGGTTCTGGCAGAAAATCAAAGAACTCAAGCAGCAGGGGAAATCTTTGAATATTATGAATAGGGGAAATTTCCATTCATCCCATAATTCATACCAGAGAGACTCCCTCTGAATGGCTCCCACAGAGGAAGCTCGGCTGCAGGGGAGCAGGCACAGAGAGGAGAAAAATCACAGGGTGGAGAGAGCGCAAAATAAGCCCAAATCTACGTCACAGCTGGTGCGCATCCCGGATGCTCAGCGCGATGTTCCAGAAAGCACCACCTCGCCCGGCACCCGATGAGCCACTGCGCACAAGTCCTTTGAATGTGATGAATTGGGGGCGGTGATCATTTGAGAAGAAATCAGCCCTTATTCATTGCTGAGGTTCCGGCTGAAGAGCGGGCGGTCGTCGTCAGAGATGACGCCGCTCCGGGGGTGCCCCCATCTCCGACACAGGGAGACCAGGGAGGGAGCTGAGGACGTGGCGGGTGGGGGGGCTCAGAGCACTCGTGACTTCAAATGTTCACCCAACAGAGAGCCATGACGAAGGCTGTGAATGCAGAAAATGGTCTTGTCAGCACTTATACTCTTAGTAGCAGGCATGCAGGGCAGACACTCTAGCCATGAGCAATGCAGACTCCTTGGGGACAGCGTGCCAGGGGACAGGCAGTCCTGCGCTTGGAGACCACTGGCAAAGGTGCCTGACACTGTGTAGAAGGCAAGAGTCAGGCTCTGCATCTCTGGAAGTTTCCTTTCCAGAGAGCTTCCAAGTTGCCATCTTGCTCCTCCTCCTTCCCTCAGTCAATTCTGCGTCAGTTCCTTGCCTTCGCCTTTCGAGGCATCCTGGCCGGGCATCTGCATGTGCTCTGCTGTCCTCCGCACTGTGACTCCTGCCCGCACACCCCGGGGCTGCTGCTGTGGCTGACTCATTCATTTGTTCATCCGTTCCACAAATATCTTCGCAACATCCGCTCTGCCTGGAGCCTCACCTGTGTCTGTCGTGGGACACAGAACGGGGAAGGAGGTGTCAGGGACAAGCGGAAGGAGGTGTCAGGGCAACCTGAGGTGCAATCAGGGATCGGAAACTAACAGCACCCTTAAGATGATAAGGGTGTCTGTGTCTCTGAGTTCCCTAGGGGAGCTCAGGCAGGAGCAGCACCAGCAGGGAGGGGTATCTGTCTCACACCGAATCCCAGGGTCTTCCCACCACCAGACAGAGACAGTCCTTCAGCTACAGCGCTCCTCAGGCCAGGCTTCCAGAGACTCTCAGGCCAGCGCCCCTTGCATTCACCTGGTGAATGCAAGTGCAAGGGGAGGAAGGAGAGAAACGGACCGGGAACGGGGAAGGCTCACTCATTCTTTCTATCACGTACACAGGCCCCCTTTGCTGCGCTCGCTCACCAGCCTGAAGAGTGCCAGGCACTAGGAGCTGGGAATGAGCAGTTAAGACTCACATAGAGTTGAATGTGGTGGTAAACACCTGTAATCCCAGCATTCTGGAAGGCTGAGGCAGGAGTAAATTAAAGTCCAGCCCAGGCAAGTTAGCCACTAAGGAAGACACAGTCTCAAAATAGAAAATAAAATCAGGTGTGGTGGTGCAAGCCTGTAATCCTAGCACTTGGGAGGCTGAGGCAGGAGGATCGCTGTGAGTGAGTTCAAGGTCAGCCTGGGCTCCAAAGTGAGCTCAAGGCCAACCTGAACTGCAAGGTGAGACCCTGTCTCAAAAAGACAAAAAAAAAAAAGAAAGAAAGAAAGAGTAAAGGAAGAAAGAAAGAAAAAAGGGTAGGGATGTAGGTCATTGTGGAGGCCCTGGGTTCAATCCTAAGTACAGAAAAAAGAATGAAAGAAACAGGTAGTCCCTGCCTTCAGGAGCTGCTCTCCAGAAGGGAAGTAGACAGTTCAGTGTGCCAAGCGATTTGCCATGGGAAGCGCTGGGCCCCACAGAAGCTCAGAGGAGAAGCATACAGACCGACTCTTGGAGCTGACTGAGGGAAGTGGTGATATCTTGAAACACACTGGGGGCCAGGCGGGTGGCACATGCCTGTGATCCTCCAATCATTCAGGAGGCTGAGGCAGGAGGATCACTGCAGGTTTGAGGCCAGCCTGGACAACATCGTGAGACTCTGTCTCAAAAAGAAAAAAAAATACGTGGAGACACACTGGAGAGTAGGAAGACCTGTTGCTGCAGGGAGAAGTTGGGCAGAGGCCCTGTGAGATTGGCAATGAAGGTGTCAGGCTGTGAGCATGGCCCTGGTAGCTCTGTCTTTTTTTTCTAGATGCTCATGTCTGAGAAACATTTGTGCAAAGATTCATTAAACTCAGGCAGATGGGGTCCAGGTGTGAGTGCGTGAGTTTTGTCTCTCTTTTCTCACAAAGCAAGATTTCCAAGAAGTGCAATGAACATGATAAGCGATAAAGTGGAAAGGACAAGGGATGATCCACACAGTTCCTAGTTCCTCCTCAGAGGAGAGAAAGCAGTCCGAGGGCCACAGGCCAGGCCACAGGCTCCAATGGGCTTTGGGGATCGTTCATGGGTAAACATCTTCCTCTAGTGGCCAAGAGTGGTATTGCCCGGGTGAGCCGGAACGGTGGGAGCTGAATGCTGCAAAGACAGGGACCTTCTCTAGGTCTTTACCTGAAATCTGTTGAAATCAGAACTGGGGCTGCACGGAGCTTGTTGACCTGAAAAGATTCCCCAACTCCATTTTTAGAGAAAGACGATCAATTGGGGAATGAATGTATACATATGTACACCCATATGGTTAGAAAAACTGTTCAAAAGATACTCAAATATAGGTGACTAATAATTTTTCACATTATTATGTACAGTATTTTAAAATTCTCTATTTTATACCTTTCTTTCTTTTTTTCCACCTGAGAATTAAGCTCAGAGCCTTATACATGCTTGGTGAATGCTCTAGCTCTGAGCTATACTCCAGCAACACCTCCCTTTTATTATTTGCGACAAGGCCTTGCTAAGTTGCCCAGGCTGGCCTAGAACTTTCAATCCTCCTGCCTCAGCCTCCTGAGTAGTTGGGATTACAGGCGTGCCCTACCATGCTGGGCATATGCATTTACGTTTGTTGACAAGAGGAAATACGTTATTTTAAAAGAGCAGATGTTACAGAAAAGTGGCTCAAGAGGAGCCCTGGGTAGAGGCCAAGTGGCTAATGTTCAAGCTGAGGGCCAGCTCTTGCTCATATCCAAACCTGAACGGCCACCCAGCCACACAGAGAGGCTTGCTTGGGGCCCGGGCTTCCTGAGGAATGCTGCCCACAGTGCCTCTTGGGCCACGTTCTTCATGCCCCTTCAGCTCCTGCACACAGGTTCTCTTGCCGAGGGGAGAGACTGCTTTTTACGCCTGCTCCTGGGAAGGTTCCAACCCTGTCTCCAACGCACCATATGTGAAATGTATGTTACCAGGAAGATAAAATAAACTTAGTTACCAGTTAGTTACCAACTTACCACTTGGTTACCAGGAAGATAAAATAAACTCTACAAAGGTGTTTTTTGAGCCTGTGAGCCAGGTGTGGTAGTGGTGTAAACCTATAATCCCAGCACTTGGGAGGCTAAGGCAGGAGGATCATAAATTTGAAACCAGTCTGGACTGCTTTAGTGAGTTCAAAGCTGGCCTGGACATAGTGAGACCCTGTCTCAAAACAAAACAAAAACGTACTTTGTAAAAATGCCACACACACACACACACACACACACACACACACACACACACAGGCGGGGTTGGCTAGAAACATAGAAACTGGAGGGCAGATTGATGGTGCTTTGTGACCCACCAGCCACCCAAGTCCTAGTAAAGTGCCCTGGTGACTCCAGCCTGATGTGACCTTCCTGCCATTCAGCCCTTAGGCACGGGCTCATGTATCTCTGCTGTCTCCTGACTTCTGAACCTGCTGGCCAATGGGTGTGGCTCAGTCATGGGTATCTTCAGGGTCACAGCAGGGGCCCGGGCATGTGAATAACCCCGTGAGGTCACTCCCAGCTATGGATTCCTGATGGGTCACGCGCCTGGGCCTGGCAAAGGCCTTCCCAGGGGCCCTGGGCTCACTGGCTTCTCTCCTGGCAAGGGGGAAACACCCTTGGAAGGAGCTGCCAGCCTCCCATGTTTACAAACAGCCATCTGTCAGTCAGAATGATACCCTTACCCCTGACAGGATCCCCTGAGCATGGGCGGGGTCTGCTCGGACACAGGTCTCATGTGCACGCACATCACTCCAGGGGTCTTACCACGACGGAGCGAGGGGCTCACCTGGCTGTTGGGTCGCTGTCCTCCCTCCTGGTCTACATGAAGCTCTGCTCTCCGGAAGGGAGTGCCTAGTTTGGTGCCTGTGTGAAGTCACTCACGGCTCTTTCCGAAGGTCCCCGATGGGAGGTGAACTCCTTGTTCTGCTTTGAAGTCAGAAAACTAAGTAAGTGGATCTTTCACTTATGAAGCCAAGTGGGTTCATGAGGGCTAGTTGTAACTCAAGACTATTTTTCTCATAATAATGGAAATACCCGTACCGCATTCCAAACCTCCCAAAGCACCCCTTAACTAACCTTTTCAAAATAAAAAGTGTTGTATAATGTGCACAATTTACCAGAAACACCAATAATTTTCCTAGTGTATTCACCAAAAAGTTATAAAATGTGCCTAGTTTTCCAGAAATAACACTTTCATACTGTACTCGCCATTTAAGTTGACATCTGTGGTGGATTGACAACTCGTGGTCAACTTGTAACACCCAGCTGAATCAGCGTGGTGCTGGGTATGGAGAACCCACCTGAGGACTGTTGCCAAGATAAAAATGAAAACTGGAGGGAAGAAGGAAAGCTGTTGGGAGCTGTTGGTTTTCCTGGTGCTGTTGGTTCTCCTGAAGGAGATTGTCATGCTGGCTTTCCTGATATGAACTTGGCTGTCCTTGTCAAAGGAGCTCAGGACCTTGTTGTCACTGAGAATGGCTAAGTTCACTTTGGGGGAACTGTGGTCCTTATTTGAGCATCAATTCCTAGCTCTAGAGGGGAAGATAGTGCACTGCTCCATGTCCTGGAGAAGCTTGTCGTGCTGGCTTCCCTGATATGGACTCAACTGTTCTCATAGTTAGAGGAGCTCAGGATCTTGTCACTGAGGATGGCTGTGGTACTTTTTGGGGGAGCTCTGGTCCTTATTCTGAGGGTCACTTTTTGGCTCCAGTGCAGATCCCTCAGCCTGATTCTTCACCCTGCTGGCATAGACGTTCTAGCTTCTACCATTGACCTTTGGGCCTTCCCAGTACAAATCCATGAAACAGACATGCATGAGACATTGTCATGGGTTCTTGGCCTCCAGGTGGACTTGTGGGAGGCACTGTGACGGGCTCTAGATCTTTAGCTGGACTCATGTAGGACATTGCTGTGGGATCCAGGCCCTCAGCTGGGTTCTTTCGGTTTTTAGTGTGTAGACAGATTTCCTGCATTCTCTTTGTATATGATTCTTTGGGTGACTATTATGAAATAATCCTATAAATTATGTGTCCTCTATTGCTTCCCTTGTAAACCCTGACTACAACATCATCTTTGGCTTGCAGGACGGGAGGATGCAATGGAAGGTGGTTATTATTTAGAGTCCTCTTCCATAAGAACATCAGCAACCTGGGTCTCTGGTGTCGTTTCTGTGCTTGGGAATGTCTGTAGATCAATAGGACCTGCTTCTGGTTCACTAGGTCTCAACCTTTTGAGAACTAAAAACTCGTCTAAGGTTGTCTGTTTCTGTATTTATCACTGTTCTGTAGTATGACATGACGTTGTCATTAAGCAAGTGAATGCAACGATTGGCTTTTTCTCTGCCTGGGTGGGATTTCTCTGCAAATGTTTGTAGCTCTGTCCATTTCTCAGGATTCCTTTTATTTCAGAAGAACTTTGCTGCACTGTCTGTTGCTACTCCCCCTCCTCTTCAAAAAGTCCTCACTGCCATTCTCTGTTGCTCAGCCTGAAATTGCTGAAGCTCCTCTGTAGACAGCTCCTCTGAGTGTCCCTCTCCCAGGTCCTCAATGTCACCGCTGTCCACCTGTGAGCCTGTGGACTCTGCTGTAGTGACAGTGTCACCAGCCACAGAGTCAAAGGAAGGCTCGGGCTGCTCTACACAGCCTTCAAACACTCTCCTATATAATTTTAGGTCACACTTTCTTCCAGGCAGATCTCAGGGTCCTCAAGAGACACTGGCTCAAAATTTATCAATTAACCCCACACTGGAAAGGATACTGTAATGTTCCTTCCAGAACTCTCTATGGGTTAAATCTGTATCAGACCATCTGGAAGCACCTCAGGAATAGTTCCTTCGTGTATAGCTTCTTAAAGTTAGCTATCACCTGCTGGTCCATAGGCTGCAGTAGAGGAGTTATATTAGGTGGGAAGAACACGACTGGGAGCCATGGGAATTCTTCAGCCAATTCTTCCAAATCTCATGCATGAACAGGACCACTGTCTACAATGAGGAGAGCCCTGACTGGTAAATCTTTGTCCTCGAGATATTTCTTAACAGTAGGACAGAAAGCCTCCCAGATACACTCAAGAAAAAGTACCTTTGTTAGGCTTTTGTGTTAGATCTCCACAATTCCTAGCCTACTCTTCATGACTTTGTTTTCTGAACACTCTAGGGGTCTGAGAGTGATAAACCAAGAGAGACTTTACCTTGAAGTCACCACTCGCACTGGTACATAGCAGTAAGTTTAGCCTATCCTTCATAGGCTTGTGGCCTGGCATTTTCTTCTCTTCCTTGGTAATGTATTTTCTCCTGGGCATTTTCTTCCAGAAAAGGCCAGTTTCATTACCGTTGAAAACTTGATGAAAACAAAAGTCCTTTCTCTGTGTCTTTCATTGTTTCAGTCTTTCATTGTTTCAGAGTGGTGTATGTAATTTTCAGCAGCCTTTTATCAGCACTGGCTGCTTTACCATGCCTAGTTATGCTATGAACCTCAGTTCTTGCTTTAAAATTGCAAAACCACTCCTTGTTGGCACAAAATATTTCACCATTATTACTTGTTGATGGATTATCCTTTATGAAATCTGCATTTATAGCCCTAGCTTTTTTCACAAATTGTAGACTCAGGCTTTCACCTGCCATCTGCCTTTCGTTTATCCACACTAATAATAGCCTTTCTACCTTATCTAATCCTGTTGATTGTGACTAATTTGAGTAACACCTTCAGCAACACTAGCTTCTGTATACAAATCTTTTCTCTGTAAGATTGTCAAGATGGTGGATTTTGACATGCTGCACATATTACTGAGAAAGCAACTTGGTGAGCTGTCACATTAATGTCACATAGTTCTTCCTTCTTTAATGTCACATAGTTCTTCCTTCTTTGTGACCGCTTTCTTTTCCTTCCATCCCTTCATTAGGTTCACTTCTAGTTTTTTTTTAACCATTTTGATAGCAGTAATTGTAGCAATTATGTAAAGTACTGACCCAAATCACATCCATAAACTCGTGGCTCTGGGCTCAGACACTTACATAGGCTTATATATGCTTTTCTGGCACTGTGAATCTTTGTTTACAACCACATAAGCAGCCAGCATTTGGGTTATAACTCAAGACTTTGGTCATATGTTAAACCTAAAATGCTGATTGTAACCCAAGTTGTTTGTATGTGAGGGTAGTCATAACTTGAGGCTCCACTGTATAATGTTCCTGTGCAAAAAAGGCTGGCAAAAAAGCCATGGCTGCCACAGGGGATTGACTATATACACTATAGTATAGAGGACACAAATGAAAAATGACACTGTAGAATATTTAAGGATCATGCTTTTTTTTTGAAATGAGGAGTCTCACTAGGTTGTTCAGACTGGTCTCAAACTCCTGGGCTCAAGTGATCCTCTTGCCTCAGCCTCCTGAATGCTGGTATTACAGGCAAATGCCACTGCATTCATAATTTTTTAAAAGGCAGGTTATTAAATATTATATATGCAGTGAGATTACAAGTCCATTTCCTTTTCTTTTCTTTTGGTACTGGGAATCAACTCAGGACCTAGTACTTGTCAGGTAAGTGCTTGCCAGGCAGGCGCTTGCACCGCTGAGCTGTATTCCCAGCCCTCCTTTTCTTTTTTAGGTGTATTTGTATTTTCATATATAAGGATAATCCCTTGACACAGTCCACAAATATGGTGAGAGGATGAGGAGAAAGCAAGGGACTAAGGTGACAGGTGGGGAACAGGACGGGCTGGGAGACTTGAGCTCTGCTGGCCCCAGAGTTGAGGCTGTGGCTGCCTACAGGGTTTGGGCAAATAACTCCAAGGGCAGAACCACTATGGGGGCATCTGGCTGTGCAGGGTAGGGAGGAGGCAGGAACTGCAGCCCTGGGCAGGTCCAAGGCTCCCAGCAGGGGGACCTGGCCTGCAGGCGATGGCCCCATGCTGGACAAAGACCCGTATACACTGTAAACAGCAAGGAAAGGCACTTTTCATGTGTCAGTACTCTGCCATTTACGAACTAGCTTCTTGCCTGTCTTTTTTTTTTTTTGGCAATACTGGGGATCCAACCCAAGGCCTCTGCACAGAGCTACATCACCAGCCCTTTTTGATTTATTTAGAGTCTCACCAAGTTGCCAAGGTTCCCAGAGTGCTGGGATTGCAGGCAATGTGCCACTATGCCACTTCTTATCTGTTATTTCACTTGATGCTTACAGATGCTCAGATGTTAAAGGTCTTGCTGATGAGAGCACAGCTGGTCTGGGGGAGCCAGGGCCTGACCCCAGTCAGTTCTGGGCACAGGTGGCTATACTTGAGCAGGCAGAGAAAGGCTTGAACTAAGGATCTTAAGATCACTTAACAACTGGGCACCTAGAAAACCCAATGATCAGAACAGATGCGGGACCCAGCGCCAGACCCTGAGATGGTCCTAAGGAGTTCAGCGGGGTTGGCTGGGTGGCCAAGGTGGCTGGCAGGGCACTTGGGATGAGGATGGCAGCTGCTTACTGACCAGTTCAGAAGTGTTTCAACACCTCACCTAGACCGGGCGCAGTGGCGCACACCTGTAATCCTAGCACCTGGGAGGCTGAGGCAGGAGGAACATTGTGAGTTCAAGAGCAGCCTGGGCTACAAACTGAGCTCGAGGCCAGCCTGAACTGCATAGCGAGACCCTGTCTCAAAAAGACAAAAACACCTCACCTACCCACCTACCTGTTCTGGTGGGCACAGGAGGAAGGTCATCCTGCTTTGTCTTCTCTACTTCTGTGTCACTTAGACTTCAACACTAACAAGAGATGCTAGAAACTGTCCAACGTGTCAGTTATTTCAGTGCAGCAGCTTTTTGGCTAAACCACACTCTAAAGAGAAGGAACTTGATGTCTCCCTGATGTAGGCTTCCAGGGCTATGTCCAAGTCTGTAAAATCACTCTTGGTTCCTGCACTCAGGCAGAGCTCAGTGGTGG